CGAAGAGTGCTTCAGCAGTTGATGGCAGATTTGTCGGAGCACGAGAAAGTGCGTCCGCAGTGATCTGATGCTTTCCTGAAACATGCATCACATTTGGGGAAAAGCGCATCAGCCTCAGACGGAATCGGTGGATCCTTTGTGGCATTTTGTGGAGTTCCTTGGTAGAGAGGAGAGGGACCAAGGGTTTGTGATCAGTCTCCAGTGTATACTGCTTGCCAAGGATGTATTCACTGAAACGTTCTGATGCCCATGTAGCTGCAAGGGCTTCCTTCTCGATGACTGCGTAGTTCTTTTCTGCATCTGTCAGAGCTCGTGAGATGTAGCTGACAGGTCTGCGAGAACCATCATCTTATATCTGTAGAAATAGTGCCCCGAGGCCAGACATGGAAGCATCTGCAGCAACGATAGTCTCCCGGTCAGGCGAGTAGTGTGCCAGTATTGGTGTTGTGGTGAGGCCATCTTTGGTGCATTGAAAAGATGCCTCTTGATGTTCTCCCCAGGTCCACAATGAGTCTTTTTTAGCAATGCTCGCAAAGGTTCAGTTGCAGTAGCTAAGTTAGGAGAGAATTTTGCCATCTGGTTCACCGTACCCAGAAAGCGTTGTAACTCAGGGACGTTCTTGGGTTGAGGGAACTTTTGAATGGCGTCCACTTTTGCTGGATCTACCTTGAGGCCTGTGTTGTTCCCTATGTGCCCGAGAAACTTGATTGACGGTTGTGAAAATTCACACTTGTCGTTTAGAGTGATCTTAGCTCTCTGGGGACGCTTCAGGACTAGTCTAACTCGCTTATTGTGAGTGTCCTGATCAGGTGCATGAATGAGAATGTTATCTATGTGACAAATGACACCTGGAAGGCCGTCCACAATGTTACACATTTTCCTTTGGAAGATTTCTGGGGCTGGGGATATGCCAAAGGAAAGACGGTTAAAGCAGAATCTCCCAAACGGTGTTATGAAGGTAGTGTACCTTCTGGAGTCTGGATCGAGAGGGATTTGCCAGAATCCGCTCGTCGCATCCAGCTTAGTGAATATTGTAGACCCTGCAAGCTTGGCAAGCTGTTCGTCTACGGTTGCCAAAGGATGAACTTCTCGTCTCACTGCCTTGTTTAGACTGGTGAGGTCCACGCATATTCTAACTGAGTCGTTTCTCTTTGGCACAACAACCATGCCGGAACACCATTCTGTGAGCTCAGTTACGGGTGAGATCACGCCTTCAGCCAACATTCGGTCAATTTCGGTCTTGACTTTTGGCAGTAGAGGGTGGGCTACTTTTCGTGCTGTGTACAAGCGCACAGGATCAGCGCTTTCTTGTAGCTTGATCGTGTAAGGGTCTTTCAGTTGTCGTAGTCCTTTGAAGACATCAGGGAACTCTCGTTTGAAATCAGAAGATGTCTCGTGGACTGCATTGAGTCTGGCAATGAGACCCAGCTTTACACATGCTGACCTGCTGAGTAGGGCATGTGGTTGGTCTTTTACAGCGAATATTGTCTCCTTCATGGCTTTTTCTTTAAACTTTAGATCAGCCTCAAAGGTGCCAAGAGTAGACAGAGGTGTGTCACCAGGGCCTTTTACAATTTTGCCGCAGCTATTGAGAGGTTGACTTGTGTCCACACTTCTGTCTCCGATGACAGAGATCGCAGCACCAGTATCAAGCTTGAATTTTGTTGGGACGGAATTCAACTTAATGATAGCAGACCACTCATCTGGGCTGTCGACTTCGTTCACAGTGATGTAACCTAAAAAGTCTGGGGCCTCAGCTACGTGGTAGGAGTTGACTGATACTTCCTGAACTTTAGGGTGACTACGGCAAAATGCTTTATAGTGGCCTCTCTTGCCACAGGAACCACATACTGCAGACTTGGCAGGGCAGGCGTCTCGTTTGTGGCTAGGGAGGCGACCACAGTATCCACAAGGTCTCTTGGAACCTGTGTGGAGTGTGTGGTTTGTGCGGAGGCCTTGAACTTGAAGCACTCGACGCACTACGCATGTTGTGTGGTTTTGTTGTGACTAGCTCAACTCGAGGTCGTACGAGTGTCTGGCTTTCATCACGTACTTCAGCTTGTCGGCTTATTTGTATAGCCTCACTGAGGGTGAGTATGAGCTTCAATTGGGGCTGCTTGGACAGGTCATCGTCCCTTACTCCGACAACTATTCTGTCTCTTATGAGCTCATCTTTGAGGACTCCAAAGCTGGAGTCATCTGCGAGCCTGTGCAAGCCTTGGATGAATATATCGACACTATCTCCCGGTAACTAAGTGTGTTTGTTGAATTTTGCATAAGCGAAAATGATATTTTTGCGTGCATCAAAGTGAGTGTCAAACGCCTCTATCACTTCTGTGTATGTAGCGGTGCTTTCCTTGATTGACAAAGTCGTGAGGATGTCGTCGGCTACCTTCCCCATAGTGTACAGTAGAGTACTGACCTGCTCTGGCTGTGACTTGTTCAGTAGACCCGTGAATGAACGAAACCTGCTGAAACGTTGTCTCCAACGAGGCCACGATTCTGCCTTCCCATCAAAGGACTTCGGCGGGGGTAGAGACACGCGGCGATAAACTGTTGTTTCACCGCCTGATGAACGTTAACATCCGTGTCTTGTTCAGCCATGATTTAAAAAGTTTAAAAATGACACTTAGATATATAATATACCGTTTTCAACCGCTGCCACCATGTAATATAGTTCGGTTTGTGGATACAAACAGATGAGATAGAGAGAGAAGGTGAAGAAACGCACGTCTGAAAAGGCTCTTTGTTTTATTCTTGTCTTCTAGTACACTATAACCCAAAAGTGACTACCGAGTAGAAGAAAGATACTGTCTAAATCCCGATACGTTACCTAACAGTTATAACAGAAGAGTTATGTAATGTACATTATTCCACAAAAACCATCTACATGTTCAGGAGCTCCGTTAAACTAATCACAATCTGAAAACTGAAGAAAATAAAATTCCTAATTGTTTTCATTCTATTTTAGCAACCATTTCTAAACTGAAAACATGGCTAAACCAAAGGAAATTTAGTGGTCTCGCAGATTTAGTTTTTAACTGACTCCACGTCACGTACGTGCGTATTTGTTTTCCATTTATGTTCAATGCAATAATCTATTGATGATACCTCACTTTGTTAAATCATTAATGAAATTTATGAAGCAGAAATCAAATATATGGCTTATATAAATAGTGAAAAAAACCTTTCCATTTTTAACATCTTAATTAATTTTGAACTCATTGATCAGGCACCTGCCGTTCCAAAGCAGAGCAACAGCCTATAACAAGTATAACAGAATTGAGTTTCCAGGTTTTACTGGTACCCCTTAGTCTAGCCCGTATCCACATATGCCAGAAACGAAATGGTAGCTTTCAAAATTGCAAAGCTACATAAATAGATCTTAGTAACTGAACTGGATCAATAATTAAGAGTTTTTCCACCCGTAGGCCTATTCGTATTTTACCTCATGCTCAGGTACTGTATAGAGCTTTTTTATATTCGTATTACATAATTTCTGACTTAAATTTGTTACCGTACCAAATTATTAGTTTATGACATATTTGATGGTCTATATTCAAAGTATATTATTATATTGCTAGCAATTAAGCCTAATCTCATTTATAATTTCTCTGCACTTGTCTATATATGTGGCCCGGGGGCTGGGGTATTTCCCCATATAATTTGAGGATTTGAAGCCTAATTCGGTTTGAAATTT